ATACCGCGGGACCCACATGTTGAGCGACCTTCAAAGCCTGCAGGCAGTGGCATCGGTTGAGCACAGTTTGTGGTTCTTGGGGTGCCGGCTGGTGTTGACCACCACCACCCCGGTGATCATGCCATCGTACTCGTTTCTTTTTGTTGTTGCTGCAGTCGACGCAGTTGTGCTGCCGCTGCTGAACAAAGGCTGGCGGTGCTGGTGGCACTGGCGGTGGTGGTGGTGGTGCAACAGCTCGGTATAAATGCTTGTCCTGTGCCCTTTGGCAACACAGTCGGTACCTCCGACTGTGTAGCACCCTCTGTAGACGCCGAAAATGCGCAATCAGCAGGAATCGGAAGTGGCGACTGTGGGCGCAGAGGATGAGAAAGTTTGTCAGGGTTTTGCCCAGAGTGCAGGAGTTCTTCACAATGCTCAGTACGCTCTGTTTTTCACCGCTAGTTTGCACCTCCCGCATGAGGAGATCCATAGTGAGGTTGAGGTGGGAGAGATGCGAGAGGTTCTGCTGTCTGTGGTCCTCCACACTGCCAAGAATATTCTGCCAGGGAATACGGATCAGCAGATCAGCAAACTGCAGGGAGTCCAAGATCAGGAAGGACACAGCCAGGCTCAGTATTGTCATCGTGATACGGGAGTAGACGCGCTTACGATGCAACTCGGACAGATCCCGGTTGTTTGTCCTCGTCTCTGGATCAGCAGTCGAGGGGTTGTATGCATCCTGTTCCTTACAGTCCAGTTCTCTGCTTGGCCCAGCCCACAGCGAAGCACCCGTGTAACTGTTGTTGGCAATATAGGTAGAGCCATTGTACTGTGTGCCAGTCTGTAACTTGGTTTGAGCAAAGCTGTCATCCAGATCACCTTTTCCACACCTATGCGGCGAGCAGAGAACACCACAACCACAACAGGAACGGAAAGACCTTGTTTGAGGAGCGGTCGTGGGCAGGTTACGGTTCTGGCTTCGTTGGATAGCCCGCAGACCGTAGAGAAGGATAATGGAAAATAGGAAAACCAGACAGAGTGGCAAGACAAAGGTGAGAACGTCCAAGAGGAGGGGAAACCAATGCAGGGTGAGAGCTGCTTGTAGAAGACTAAACAGGCAACAGGATAGGTAGGCCAACCAGAGGTTAGACGGCTTCTGGGCAAACGCCCATAGTGACCTTCTGAGCCGTCCCCGCGCGGGATTGGCATAGATGGATACACATCGATGGAGAATCATGCAAACAATGTACCAATTACTCACACTGACTGAGGTCACAGCAAGCGTTCGAAGGACATTTGATATGTGCTGAAGGACCGGCTTTCTGGAGAGGTATTCGGTCACTAGGGAGTTCATGAGATAGTTGATTGTTATATCCGTCCATATCTGATTTAAAAGATAGAATGCACAAACTAGACCATCGGAGAGGAGGACGAGCTTAATTAAGAGGATGCCGATGGTGGCTTTTCCATTCAAGAGGGCGTAAGCAAAGAAATTGGAAAGAATTCCAATTGTGCAAAAGGTGTATGTTACAATATCCAATAGACGATGGGAGAAAGAGAATTTGTCCCCGTCCAAGTCCAATTCAGGCAGATATGAGAGATTTATATTTCCCTGCAGATAGTTTTGCTGGCTTTCCTGCAAGTCGTTCCGTGCACATTGAATGATGCTGGTTTGCAAGGAAACCGCGAGGAGAAAGGATTTGGTCCATTGAAAACAGAAAAATTGGGGAACTCTTTGGTTTCGTTTCATTGTAATTCTACTCCGAAGGATGGATGGCGCACACGCATCCTCA